GTGCTGGGGCATGGTGTTTTCCAATGAAAAGGGGCTATGTGGTTAAGAAGAAGGGCTGGAGCAGAATAGGTGCAACGGAACTGTTAACCTTTAAGAGCCTAGCGACACCGTATGCAGACCTTTAAAGTGTAGCCGAGTGGCCGTGCGACACCGTATGGGTACGCACAGCCCACACATGCGCACAGTGTTTTAAAATCTAATTTTAAGATAGAAATTCTTGTTCTACTCACATTATTTTTGGGCACCCGCTTTATAAGTACACAGCGTGGCCGGCGCTTAGGGCTGACAAACTTACCCCCATCTTTGAGCCGACTGTCTTGATAAAGTGGGACCCTCAACGTTACACAACCCTATGGGCATTCACGGCCTGTTACAGGGACAGCTTTACTTTACTTACTTTTAGATAGTCAGGGAATCTGTCAAAACAGATATCACCACAACTTCAACCAAGATGGATACACCCACGCAGTTTGGCTGCAAGTCTTCTCCAACCCTTCTTGCCCACAAGGTTCACTCCCATTGGAAAACACCATGGCCACCATTACTTCTACTGTAAGCCCTACATACCAGCCCACTTCCTCATTCATCCTGAAGACAGTTACCACAACGAACACCAATATTATATACAGTCAGGAGCTCAGTACAAACTGGCCACAACAAGCTGATGGACAGAGCAGTAATATATAATTACCAACATTAAACCTTGGGTTACAAGATTTATAAATGTTTCAGTTGTAGTCTATCACAATTAATATCATCTCAACATCTTTCTACGTGTGTGCTCATTTCAGCACAGTAATAATGTCTTATATTTTTTATTTCATGTATATAATCACAACTAATTCTCTCTGCCAAAGGGAAATTCTCTAAAAAAAAGATGCTGATAAAATACGTACTGAAGAATGTTTGCATCCTAGGGCTAATCCAAGGGGAAGCACAATAGATCATTGAAGGTCGCAGTGCAGGGGCTGGTTTCTATGGCCCACCCCTTATATACATACATACATACATGTTTGCATACTTGGTAATATGAGATTCTTACCTCTCTTCCAAGGCATTTTGGTATTCCTTTTTTCTCTTGCGTGAATCCCCTGCTGCTATTTTATTGCGTATTTTTCTTCTAATCATCTTAAGTTTACGCTCTTCAGCTTGTGTGAGAGGATGAGAAGAGAGTGTGATGCCTTCTTTCTCTAGTAGTTGTTTCTCTTCAGCTGCAAAGAAATACTTTAAGCATCAGTTACCGTACATTAGACACACAAAAATTATTTAATTTTGTTGAGTAAAATATACTTCTTGGTGTCCAATTCTTTTCTGGAACTCCATTTGCACTTTAAACTTATGAAGTTCACACTGGGATAAAGATTACTCTTCAAGAAAGTTACTTGGAACAAACTGCTACATACTTCACATTCTAAGACAAATATTATTTAATGATACAGAAATTTGAAAGTTTCCAGTATGTTCATAATAAAAGAGCTCAGTGACATTAACACTAAAAGGTTCACTACCAATTGATGAATGAAATATTCTGATTTACATAATGGAATTTATATCATGACAGCAATAAACTCTCTTTTAAGTCACTTGCAATCACAAATTCAAGGCTGATTCATATGAACTTTCAGGTCAAACACTACTCATTGAAAGATTTGCTATGACAGGTGCAACACATGCATCATAGGAGATTGTTTTAAAATCTGCAAAAATGCATGCTTCCTTTGTAAGACCAAACCTCATTTACTCTACTTTACTATGAATCATCCTCAACTTACTCAAAACCTCTTAAAACATAAGACTTCTGTTGATCATTCTTACGTGTTAAATGAAGTTCGGAATGCTGTGGTGTTGGTACTTCTGCTTCCGCTGCACTTGCAGCAGGCACAAGCCCAACATCCAATAGCTCCTCTAAGTTGAGAAACAACTCCATTACATCTCCAGACGGGCTTTCTCCCTACAAAACAAAAAATAATCATTTTAATTCTGTTTCATAACACTGACAAACACAATTAAATTTCTCTACAGCCATCATTTCAACGTGTTTCTCTTCACTCTTGGTCAACTGCAGAGTACATTCTACAATACGAAATTGTGAACTAGGTGAAATAGGGAATGCAAGATGACCACAAGATTGATACTGTATCATTTTGAATGTGCTCCAAGTGACACAGATGACAGATTGGCAAAGGAAACGCCTTTATGTAATATTCACTGACCACTGGTTAGGACTTCAACTGCTAAATCATCTGCCACGATATATTAAAAGAAATAGCAGTACTACATAAGTTCAAAAACGCTTTGAAAATTTACCTACTCAATCATTGTTTTTATAAAGTGGATGAGTTTCTCTCATGTGAGACAATCACTAAGCAATTATAATTACACAATTCATGAATACCGTTGCGGTCTAGTCAAGTGGGATCTGTGATGGACAAAGTGGCGCTGAGCGCGCTGAGGCAGGTTTTCCCTGAGTACTTCAGTTTCCCCTGCCTATCCTCATTCCATCAAATTCTCCATAAGCATTATCACCGGTACAGGTACAATAGGACATACGGATGCCGACATGCCGAGGGGACCTAATATGGATTCCACCTCACACTATACGAACTCTAATTATTTATTGTAATCTACTGTAATCTATTGTAAACAACTGTAAGTATTGTAACGTTACTCTTTTATTGTAATCAGCCAATGTACAGTAACTGACTTGTCCTATATCATGTAGCAATGATCTATAGAGACGAAATAAATAAATAAATATTCATTTTATTCTCTCAGGATCATTGACATCCATTTTTTATTGTGAAAAATAATTGTAAATACAAAAAAGCCTAGTCAATGTCAATCCCGTGCTTTGGAGCACATTCTTAATTACACATCACATCATGAAGATGTATGGGTAGTGGAGGTATAGCTCCAGCACTCTTAATCTTGACACTAAATGGATGGGACCTATCAATTCCATGCCCCAGACACTTCACCTTTTGAGGAAACCAAGTCTGGTACCTACTGAATGGTGTGTTGTGTGGGCCCTAGATTCAGTCTGAATGCTATAGAGAAAAGAGAAACCTAACTTCCTGACTACTGTGCCAGACGCCTAGTTAGGAACNTATGAGGTAAACGCCGATGGGGCACAAGACAGCTGCTAGAATCATCTGAGAGGAATTTGCATCGCTGCAGGTTACATAACAAAGAAATTTTTCTTGTAACTTTTAGGTATGTTTAACCATGAAGGTTTTAGATTTCTAAATGTGCAATATGACACTGTGAATGACAATCATAAGCGGTAGGGATCATTTTGAATCAATCTGATCTAAAGGGAATCTGAAATTTTTCCTTTATACATCCACTGCCATAGAAATATTTCAGTAGCATAAATACTTCTCTTTGTCCAAGGCCTTGTTGCTGGGTTGGTTATAAAATAATATTTACAGCCAACAGTAGTCGACTATATACTCGTATATATAGGTGGTCTGCTATATACCAGGTCAAGTACCCACTTTTAATTAAAGAGGCTGACTTATATTATTTAAACCATCTGAAATCCTTTACATTTACCGTCACGTAATTGTATACCTACAATCATGACTATTTCATGTATTTCGGTTATTTCAGAAATGAAAAACTGGTAACTTATTTTGAAAATACTACGTTACATAAACAGGTCTTAATACTATGAAGGAATATAATTATAAACAACTACATACCTGATTCCTCGACATGTTTCTGTCACTGAAATCTGCTGAAATCCTCATAATTTCTCTTTAATCAATTCACACTCCACCTTATGTAACCACTTCTAACAGTAAACAGCTACAACTCTTGCATGGGGGTTACAAACCTGCCAGCAGGAACGTCAATACGCGCAGTTGTTACTTGCGCATCCTGCTGCTGCCATCTCTACGGTTGTGGGCACACCAAGGCAAGTGGCCAATGCAACGCAACCGTTATATCTAATTTCCAACTTTCAACTTTATTTTCGTCCATATCTGAAGTGAATACAGATGGACATGTCAAGAAATAATAACGAATACATCACATGTCAAAGTCACATAAAATTCACACACTGAGCTATAATTATAATACAGCCACCCTTATAAGGAACATAACAATAAAAAAAAAAACAGAAGACCAAAAGAATAATGTCAGTAATTCAAAACATGTAAGGACAATATTAAAAATTGCAAACCAAAAGACAATCAACAAGCTAGTCATCAATCCTACATTAGTTGAAAAATTCTTGAAGAGAATAGAAAGCGCTGCACAGCAAATAATTTTTTAGTTTTCACTTAAAACGTTAACATTTTTAACGCTTTAGTCACTCTTAGAAAATTTTTCTTTCTTTTAAATACAGTTTCGGAGTCCTTAAGCCCCCACCCCATAAAATAATACCATATTTCAGTACAGATTCAAACTTAGTAAAATATACTTTTCTTAATACAGGTCGGCTAACTGAGTCACGTAAGGATTTAATCAAATAAAGAGCCATGTTGAGCTTTTGGCATACGTATTGAGTGTGAGTTGGCGAGCTCAGATCTTCAGTAATACAAATACACAAAAATTTTACAGTAGATGAATAAATTATTTCCTTATTATTTAAGCAAAAAAAAAGTCTGTAGATTGGAGTAGGTCTTCTTCCCTGAAATAATAGCACTTTAGTCTTATCCGTGTTTATTATGAGATGATTTTCATGAAACCAATTTTCTAATTGATTCCTAACATTTAAGATTCTTTCATTTAACGACAAAAGATTATTGTCAGTAAGTTGTATATTTGTATCATCAGCAAATAATACTACCTTAGCCTCATGAATAGCTAGGGGCAAATCATTTATGAACAATAAAAATAATAGGGGTCCCAAAACAGAACCTTTAGGTATGCCACGTTTTATAGCCTTGAGTGATGAAATATTTGACTTTACGTCAGAGAACTTCTGATCCACATGTTGAATTTGAACAAACTGAGTTCTGTCAGTTAGACATGAACTCAGCCACGCATGAATTATCCCTCTCAGCCCATATAGCTCCAGTTTCGCAAGCAGTAGATTATCATTAATAATGTCAAAGCCTTTGATAGATCTTAAAAATATGCCTTTATTATCTAAAGCTTTCTGAATTTCATCGATAAAAATTTGGATTGCAATAAAAGAAGATTTATTCTTTATAATAATAATAATAATAATAATAATAATAATAATAGGGATAGCGCACAATGTAGAAGTTTAATCTTTACAGAATTTAGTTAAAGATGTCCTCCTTTGTGTACACGCTAGCACATGGTATCGTTCACACTTTCCACACAATTTGCATACACATTGTTCTCCTTTAACGTGCTATATTTTGCACACTGCATATCCTGTGGTGGAAGCCATGGACAGCAGATCGCGTCATCAGATGTCTAAGGGTGTGTCTTCCTCCCTTTCTGAACGTCATCATGGCGGTTTTTGTTCTGTTCAGAAGCAGTTCCTTCTTGTCTTTTGTTTTCCTTATTATGCATTTATACTGCTTTCGTGCTTTTGAATATTCCCGTAAATGTGTCTCAGATTGGTTTTTAAGGGCCGCATTTAGTGCAACAATTGCTGTTATTCTTGCTCTATAGCAATCTTTATTAAACTATTCTTTTGCCTTTCGAGAGTGGAGAGTATTCGGTACTATTGCAGATTTTATGGTGTCTAGGAGGATGGTTTGTGCTTCGTCAATGTTACCTTCCTCGATTGCGTCTGTCACTATGCAACTGTCTTTCTGGTTTAGGGGTTCGGGTCTGTTTTCCTTATTCGTTTTCTTATCTCCGGTTCGGACTTTGTGAGCTTGTTTTGGACGTATTTTGTAGTGTCGACGGGCAGATGTTTTCTCGCAACTATGTTGGACAGGGCCCTTTGTGATGCTTTGTGATATTGGGGTTCTATTACTGGAGACTAAATCGATTGTGCTGCTTCCGCTGAAAGCAACGTAAGTCTAGTCTTTCTTTTCGTTGATTACAATGAGGCCCTCTCTTGCAATAACTTCTATAACAACATTTGATTTATGATCCGTTGTGTCTATTCTGCAGTTAAAATCGCCCGCCATTAGTATTGGCTCTCTGTTTCAAATCAAACTTAGAATATCCATTATTTCAGCAATAATCTTGTCTTTCCCGAAGACTGGCTGAAAGTAAGCGTCTATTAGTGTGCATAGTTTTGTCTTTATTGTTATGATGTTGTCTGTTCTTTATAATATATTGAATGTAGATAGCCTGGATTTAATGAGATATGTGGTTCTGCCTTTTGGTCTTCCTTTTTCTACCTTCTTTGACAAGGAGTGTACTGCGTAGAAGTTACTGGTGCTCCATTCCGTGGTGAGGAAAGTTTCTGTGAATATCATCGCATCATATGGCTGTAAAAATCATCTGGAATTAAGTTTGTCACTGTTTTTAATCCTTCTACATTCCATGTTAGTGTCTTTATTATCATCTCTGGGGGATCATATTTTGGTCCAGTCGTAGTGACAGGTGATCTTTTATAATGAGACCCCTGTTCCATAACTCTGGAAGCGAAGTTTGGGTCCTGCATGGAGTCCATATATCTAAAATCTATTCCGAACTTGAATGACTTGTTTTTCCTTTTTGTCGGGAGAACTTCACACTCAATATCTCCCTCTATGCCTTTTGTTTGTAGAAAATTTGTTACCGCCTCTGGTTCTGTTCTACTGTGCAGTCGTCCAACGTTGATCCAGGCTTTCTTTACGGCTGTCTGTAGTTGGGAGTCAGGATTCTGGCCGCGGCCAATCACTACATTTACCCTTGTATGTTGGTGGTTTTTAACTCTGCTTTCGCTCGGTGTTCTTCTAATCTTCCTTTTGTGGGTAACCCATTTCGCACTATATTCTGAGTCTTATTCCTCCTCACCTGTGTGTTCTTCCGTGTTGCCCTTGTTGTTTGGTCTTCGGGAAGGGCTGGTTTTCCATCCGATTCCTTTGTTTGGAATTTTTCCTTCTTCATATCTGCTGGGAAGTGCTGTGATATCGTTTTGGTGACTGGTCTCCTATTCTATGACTGTTCTTCGATCACTGTTGTCTTGACAAGGTATTCATTAGTTCTTTCGGAAGCGTGCTTGTTATCCCTTCTCTAATTTTCCTTTCTAGGTAATTTTCCATGAAGCCCAGGATTCTCTTAATTTTCTCGTTAAGTGTATCGAGTTTCTGGCCTCCGTGTCCTGGTTCTTAAGTAGACGAGGTTTACAGTCAATGCAGAGCCATGTTAGCTTGCAGTTTTTTCGCTTTAAATTTTCGAATTCTTGTTTGGTCATTTCAGTGCATTAGCAGTTCTGACATCTGTTGCAGCCATCACATTCTACGGCGCTGTCGTTATGTCCGCCAAGTTTCCTACAGATGTCGCACTGTTCCCCCGCATCTATTTCTTCGGCCTCCTTGGTAAACAATTTGGGGTTACTCTGATGACTCTGAGGCTAGTCGTCCATTGGAAGCGGAAACCTGCGAACTGCGATTCGGCCGAATCTGTGCGAATCTGTTCGTCCGAATTCGTGCGTTCACTGCGCGTCCTTTGGCTGCGTGTTCGGCCGATGCCATTCGCGTTCTGTCATGGCGCTGTCTGAAGATTTATGTGATCTGTACGCGTTAGATTCTCCTTTACTGGCTAGGTGACGAGCACAGAATAGGAGAAAAGAGTGGATTAGTGGAATTTTATCAAAAAGACAAACGTTTGATGAATTTTCTCATATACGGAGTGATTTACAAGAGGACGGGTCACAGTATTTTGGTTATTTTCGCATGAAGCAAGATACATTTGAATACACATTAAGGCTAGTCGTCCACTGAAAGCGGATTCCTGCGAACTGCGATTCGGACGAATCTGTGCGAAGTCTGTTCGCACGAAACCTTGCGAACACTAGCGTTCTTTGTCTGCGTACTCGGCCGAATCAGCATTCGTCCATGCCTGTGAGATCATGGCGCTCCATGAAGATTTGTGTGATCTTTATGCACTGGAAACGCCTCTGTTATTAGCGAGACGAAGAGCTCAGAAAAGGAGACAGCAGTGGGTAAACGATATTTTATCGAAAAGACAAATGTTTGGTGAATTTTCTCATATGTGTAAAGATTTAGAAAAAGACGAGTCACAGTATTTTGGTTATTTCCGCATGAAATGATACATTTCAGTACCTGTTAAACAAAGTACAAGATCAACTGAAGGGGTACATTAACTTCCGAGAAACTATTTCACCCGAAGAACGTCTAGCTGTAAATCTAAGGTAAGGATTTAAGAAAACAAGCGTGTCTCACTGTTTGTATTTTAATTGTTATAATTCAGCATCCAGTTACATTGAGTTTCATTTACAATTGCTGGGGATAAAATGAGTGTAATACACTGCAGCATTATCATCTAATGTTGAAACCTGATTATTCTGGGAACTGAAAGATGACTCAGATGATAGGGGTGAAGCATTTGGCGTGGTCATTGCACTACGACTTAGCTCCTGTTCCTGTAATATCACATTCATCAAACTCATGCGTACGTGCAACTTTCTTTCATTGGGTATAGCCTGTAGAGTTGGTAGCAGACTCGTTAGAAATTGGTAGTCGCTGTCTTGTTTCGTTTTTGAGCTTTGTTCAAAGTAACTCAACTTCTTAGTTTCAATTTCCAATAACTTGTCGTCGTAATCAACTCTCCTTTTCTTTCCCTTTTTTTTTTGTGGGCTCTTGAATGTTTTATTTTTTGCTGTAGGTATATTTACTTGCTGACCTTCGTCATTTTCTTGAGCGGGACCTGCAGCATTCTCCAGATCTAATTGATGAGGACTAGAGAGTGCCTCAGTAGAGTCACTTTGAAAGTCGTTATTTTCGGTGTCCATCTCATTACTGTCTTCTAGAACATCAGGAACACTACTTGTCATACTTCTAGGCTCAACAGTATCTGTCAAAAACCATAGTTGGTTGAAAAAAGCCCACTTAGGTTCATGTGACGTGTCTCCGCCACTTCCATATCGTTTGTCCCTACATTTCTTTAATTCCTTCCGGAACGTGTCCCGCAGTCCCCTCCATCTCTTCTTAATGTCCTCAACTGAAATAGCACCGTTGTACATTTTAAAAAGTAATATTCTAACATCTCAATAAATGCATGATAGTATCGTCCAATAAGTTATAACATTGCAATAAGGTCTTTATTTTTTTCAGGTACCTAGCAACTGGATCGTCTTTCAAAACGTTGGGTTACTCTTTTCGTATGTCAGATGTAACCGTGGGAAGAATTATTCATGAAACATGTAATGTGATATGGGAATCGTTACACAATGAACACATGCCATTCCCTTCTGAAGAACAAGTAGATCACATAGCAGCCGAATTTTATCGGAAATGGAGATTTCCAAATTGCGTCGGCAGCATAGACGGAAAACACATTAGAATCAAATGCCCAAAACAATCTGGTAGTATGTATTACAACTATAAGAAATACTTCTCTATCGTATTGCAAGGAGTGGTAGCAGCAGACTACAGATTCATTTGTATCGATGTTGGAGCCTATGGAAAGCAGAGCGATAGTGGCATCTTTGGATACTCCAATTTAGCCAAACAGCTTGAACGTGGGGCCCTTAAAGTGAATTGTGAGACAGAACTACCTGGTACTGAATTACGAGTACCCTATGTTCTAGTTGGGGATGAGGGGTACCCCTTGAAAACATTTTCGATGCGCCCTTACCCTCAAAGGAGGCTAGGACCTGAAGAAGAAATTTTTAATAAGCGTTTGGCACATGCAAGACAAGTGGTAGAGTGTGCTTTCGGTATAGTGAGTAATAAATGGCGAATACTTCTGAAAGCATTGGAAGTTACTCCCGAGCGAGCAGAACAGATTGTAAAATGCATTTGCTTGTTACACAATATAGTACTAGACAAAGAAGGAATGACAGATTTACGACCTACTACAGTTGAACCAAGTAACCCTCACTTAAATAGATTTGCTACCAGAGGTGAAAATAGAAGTACTGCTAGGGCCTATGATGTAAGAGACACTTTCAAAAGGTATTTTGTAAACAATCCTTGAAATGTACCTGGCTCGTTCATTTCCCTCGAAACCTCGCTCCATAACCTATTCTGCACATTTCGCATGTGATAATTAGCCTGTCGTTGATCCCATAAGTACTTTCTTTCTTGCACTAAGAGTATCAACTTTTCAACATCCAATTTTAAATGAACGCAGCTCTTCGTCCGAAAAATCCAAACCAATCTGGATATTTCGCAGTTCGCAAGTATTAGCGCGTTCACGGACGAATAGTGCCGCTACCAATGGACGCACTCTAACCGCTCTAACCTGATGCAAGCTGTTAGGATCGTTAGGATCGTTCGGCCGTTTCCGTGCATGTTCGGACGAACTCATCGCAACTTTCCGCAGCTTTCCGCTTCCAATGGACGAGAGGCCTGATGGTCGGTACGTGTAAAGTATATAGATAAGTATAATTCTTCTAGTATCGCGAGTTTTGTATCACTAACACTTTCACATATGCACCTTGTCTATCTGATTTGTTGCGATCAGTTGAGCGTATGAGCGTATGAACACCACTACTATCGCGTTAATTTCCACTGTTTTGACGTCTTCTCAAACTCATCGCTTATCACTCATCATAGTCACAGCGAGTTGGATTTACTTAAGAAACTCACATCTCTGTTATACATTAACGTTTCAAGAATTTTATAAAATACGGGCAGGATTGAAATTGGTCTATAGTTTGAAATTGTTAGCCTCAATTGAACACGTGTTAGTGAAAGGAGCATCGCAAATAGAAGAGACTGAGGAAGTTAACTTTCAAGCAAGGGAGCATGCCAGTTATGCCAGTTTTCTCACCTTTTTGTTGCAGCATGGTTACCGTGGTTCAGTAATTAGTTTGTTTCTTAATGTGGCGTTGAGGGTTCTCAGGTAAAACTCCGGGATTAGGAAGGCGTTGGCATATGGTGGCAAGGTGTTTCAGTCACTGAGACAGGGGTCTTCATCACGGAACTTGGGAGAACAAATCACAGTAATTGATGATGGTTCAACTATAGTTTGCTGGCACCCAGACCCGTGTTTTCCATGACTGTTCTCAGCCGTTGCCAGAATGCAGGAGACCCATTCCACTCTGCAGATCCATTCTTTGGATGAAGTTCGCTCAGTGTTTAAAGAAAAGAAGCAAGAATTCGTGCCTCTCACACATACACAACAAAACATAGATGGTTTCCACAATAGAGTCAAATATACCAAGAAAACCCCCGCAGATAGAGAATATTTATGAAATTTTATAGTAACAGTTTTTACTAAGCTGCATTTTCAAGTCTGAGAGTGTAGTCTGTTGTTAAACGTAGTATCCCAAACGTGTACCTAAATTGATAGGTGCTGGTAGACACTAGAATGAATCCTGTAAATCACTGGTTTTGTTCCTAATTTACAGCATGTGGAGAACGCAGAGCTATTGGCTGCCCCAAAATTCAGTTAACCGGTTAGCGAAATGTACTTTAAAATATATTAGAAATTTATTTATTACTTACTGAATTTACAAAAATTGTTCAATACGAGATCCTCTGTCATGAATATGAAGTTCACAGCGCTGTGAATTTTTTATCTGAATTGACCGGCCAG